ATCATTTAACCCTCTCAATTTAGAGATGAGGAAATTGCAAAACTCAGCTTGGAAAAATAAACGTCTAAAACTATGCCACTTTCTCCTGATTAGTTATTATTAATAAAATAACATTGGGTATATAACTTAGACTTCCTTCCATCTCTCTTCCCTACTCCTTTTCTTTCTTTTTGTGTTTTTGGCTTTTTCTGTTAATTGTCCTTTCATACTTTTCATATCAGCGTTCTCGACCCTGGGGCACATGAGAACCGTGTGTGCAGACCGCACTCCTCCGTGCGTGGGAAGGAAGCGAATTGAGGGCACGAGCCAATGAGGAAAGTGTGGCTCGGACGCGCAGCAGGAGACCAACCGCCTCAGCAAGCAGAAGACGCCACCGTTCACGGCAACAGGGCGAACCCAGAGCACATGCACCAGTGAAATCAGCCACCAAGAGACGGACACCACGCCATCTCACCCACATGTGGACCTGAAAAAGTCGGACTCACAGAAGCAGGAAGTGGAACGGTGGTTTCCGGGGAGACAAGTGGGGGGATTGGGAGATGCTGACAGAATGGTCCGGAATGCCAGTTAGACAGGAAGAATGGTTCCAAGAGACCTACTGTGCGTCATGGTGACACAGTTAGTAACAACGTATTGTATCCTTAAAAACTGCTATGGGTTGTTCTTAAATGTCCTCACTACACAGGAAAACGCTAAGTATGTGAGAAAGTGGATATGTGTTAATCACATAGCCACTTGATTTGATCATGCCACAATGTGCACAGATATCAAAACATCACATTGTACACCGTAATATATGTAATTTTTATATGTCAATAATAACTCAATAAAGCTAGAAAAAATAAAAATAAAGCATTCCCCCATTTGAAAAAAGTATCAAGTAGGGAACGTTTAAAGATAACGGTAACCAAGTGCTGCCTCAGTCGAATGTATCAGAATGTCTGGCCACGGGGACCAGGCTTCAGGGTTGAAATCTAATATTTCAATGAATGGGCTAAAAAGAATTTCTGGAACCAAAACGTCCTCTTTCCTAGCAAGGCTCACGTCTGCGCTGAGTCCTGCAACGCCGGTCACTGTGTACCCAAGGTGGCTCCTCCACGCTCCCCGACTCCGGAGGGTGAGTGAGGTTCTCCCTATCCACCACCAGCCCTCGTCTGAGAGCTCCCGAGAGCCAGGAGCCGCCAAACCTCTCCTTCCACAGCTTCTAAAATCTGACTCTTCCTTCTCACTCGCACGACCCAGCCCCCCTCGTGGCCAGACGGTAGAGGTAGCTTGCAACACGCTCTGTCCCTGCAGCGTGCGGAGGCTGCTCAGAGGCAGTGGCCGCAGCCTTGCTGTGACCCCGCACCCCACTCCGGGCTGCGCCCCAAAGAGCAGGGCTGGGGAGAGGCGTCTGCACACTCAGGTTCACGGCAGCCGAGGGCAGAAACAACCTGAGTGGACACCGAGGGACGAATGGACGGACAGAACATGGTCTACACACACAATGGGCTCAGAAAGGAAGGGGATTCTGGTACCTGCCACACATGGAGTAGCCCTGAAGACACTGCGGAGTAAAACACGCCAGTCACGAAGGCAAACGCACCGCATGATCCTCTCAGATCCACAGAAACAGGAAGTGGAGTGGGGGAGGCCGGGGGCTGGGGGGCGTCAGTGTTTACCGGGGCAGAGTCTCAGTTTGGAAAGACGAAAAAGTCCTAGAGATGGAAGGTGGGACAACGCACAATGGCGCCAATGTGCTCGATGCCACTGAACCACGCACTTAAAAAGGGTCAAGGGGGTGAATTTTACGCTGTGTATTTTGCCACGATAAAAAATTACTGTTTGTCTCCGCCACCAACCTGCACAAAGCCACCGTGTGACATCTGACTCCTTCACCCCCGGCTCTCCCCTCAGTGCCCACCTCCCGTGACTGTGGAACGAACTCACACTCGTCCACCTGAGTCCTACGATCAACTTCAGTTCTGTGCCCGTTCTGTCTGCAGCGCTCTCCCCAGGTGCCTGTCCCCACGTGGGACAACCCCCTGGTGTCTCCTGTCACAGAAGAGAAGGTCTCGCCCCGCGGGCACTCAGGGCCCTGGTGGCCCCTCAGGCAGGTGAGCGCATCGAGCCTCACATTCCTGCCGCCGCAGAAACGTGGCTTAAAGATGGTCATTTCTCACCTATTTTGGCATTTTCCCCTCACTGTAAAAGCCTTGCTCCACGCCTCAGTGGAACAAGAGTCCGCGAGTCGTCACGTCCATCCGGAGCCTCTCCTCGCCGGCGGTGAGTATTCGCAGCCAAGGAGAGTTTTGCCAGAGGGAAATTTTTTTAAAAAGATGCATAATTATCCAACTTTGATAGCCATTACTCCTTCCTAATAAGTAAAAATACTTTTATTTGCACATTTCTAAGCAAAGAAAGGTTTGCTTAGCATGTCGAGTTAGAAATGAATTTAGGACTTAATCACATTGGATGATGTGTGGTCATACTTTTACAACTCTGTTTTCATAATTTTAAATCGAAAAGCAAACCTTTCTGACTGCAATTGTCTTTAAAAGAAACCACAGCTCTATACAAAGTGGACCCCTTCAATTTCCAGCACCATTCTCCGGGCCACTCAGACGAGCAACAGATCCACCGGCTAACAGCCTGAAATAGATCCTAAAAAATCGAAACGTACATATAAACAGCACTTAGGGTCCACGACACAGTCCTAAGTTCTGCCACAGCACATGGCCCTCAGGGACGCGAGGGAGGAAGCCGGGGACCTCTGAGGTCAGATGGAACACGAGGGCAAGGAGCTCAGAGCCATGGTAGGGTTTCTTCTCTCAGTCACTGTTCGACGTTGATTTTACTCAACAATTCACATCTCTAACAGGAGCGTCTGCCCTTTTTCATGTAAGCGTAACTCCACGTCAAATAACTCGTGGCCAAATGACACCAGCTTCATTATATCAGTGGCAGCATAAAAATGAAATTTCCACGTGATTTTAAGGAGCAGTGGGGAGAATAACCTGACGTTCTGAGCTCTCTGGGAAGAAAGCACACGAAGGTGCCCAGCGTCCAAACCAACGTGTGTGTGGGGCTTGCCTAGAGAAATCAGCTGTCCCACGTCCAGTAACAGAGCTTTTTGCACCCTTAGGTTGACTCAGAATAAGTTTTGGTTACAAAGGAGCAAAGGAGGGAGAGGTCGTGTCACACCTGGAGGCGTGCACTGGTATGTTAGTGATGGCCTCCCTCGGTTTGTGAGGATCGGAACGACCTCCCTCACCTAGAGCGTCCATAACATCTATAAACTACTATTTCTGAAAAAACAATTGTCGTCTTTTACTTAGTGCCTCTTAGGCCACCCTAAAGGCAAACATGCTTGACACAGGCATGCGGGCAGCTCCCCAGTCACTGGATATGCGGGAGGGTGCGGGGCTCTGTCTGCCCGGGGGTAGCAGGAGCAGGTATTGGTACTCTACCTAGGTCCTCCTCCGCCGGCCCTGGGAAGCTGATGCCCGGCTGGACCAGGTCTCCGCCTTCTTCCTCTGCAAAGACAGAAAGAAAGTCACTCTTTAATACATTCCCGGTGTAGACAGCAGTCATCACCACACATCTGCAAAATCCTTTGCTATCGGCACAGTTCAAACTTGAAGACACCCTCTCGTTTCTTCAAATGCCACTGCTCAGAGCCCGTGTTTTGTGCCAATAACCTCAGAAACAGCCATAATTTTCTGCAAAACAGCACTGTGATCACAGACACACGTGTTTCTCTTGTCCTGGCACTGACTTAAATAGTGCATCCAACAGATTCTCGGCCTCCCCTTTGGTTTAACCTAGGATTTATCAGCCCTGGGCTGCATTAGAGCAGACTTGCGCAAAACCAGCCCCACGTTATTTTCCCTGGGTCCACACAGCTAGTGGAGCCCCACAGCAGCCCCGCGCCAGCCGTGACGGAGGCTTTCCTTACTGTCCACATAGCTTTACGCTCAGTGTGGTAGTTCAATGCCTCATGCTGCAATGTTCAAAGCCCGCAGCTACTGTTTTAATGCTTAATGTTAGTCCATCTCAGGTCCATTTTGCCCAAAACACTAATTTCATTTCCTTGTGCTGGGAGATCATTCTAGTTTACTGGCATTGATTTTCAATTGTTCACTCTATGCATGACACAAAAGCAGAGACCGCTTTCTTAGCATGACATCATCGTGTGGCTGTGGGAGGTCTTGGGGTAATTTGGCCTGTCCTCCCTCCACAGGTGGGGAAACAGAGGCTGTGCAGAGATGCATGGACTTGAGATTTTATCCCACTAGTCCCTGGAGAGCTGGACTTAGAGAGGCATCCCGCAGCCTTCCTCATCCTGGGCTGAGCCCGGCAAACCAGGCACCTCCTCTTCACACCTGGTCTCTGCACGTGCCGTGGGGCATTTAGAGGCAGCGAGATGCCCAGGGATGCTCTGAGGCCAGAGAGCCAGTCTAAACCAGTCCGAAGATGGACCCAGGGAGTCTCAGAGAGAGATCTTTTGGGAATACCTTACATATACCTGCAAACATATTTCTATCCATGGGATATGTGTCAAAATGATAGTTTGGCACATACCCATAAGTATAATTCCAAATATAATTGCATGTTCAGACTCTAGCATGTCTTATGCATGTATGAAGGCTCCCAAGATTCATGCATAGGCTCTGAGGCAACATGCTGCATTTCCCTCCCTGTGGTACGAGACACGGCTAGCCATGCTACGGTCTGCAAGGGTTCGTTTTAGTGCATTGTGGTGGAGCCTGCATGCACTGCTATCGCCATCTTCGACTCAGCAAACCAGCATCTACCGTCTTCAGTGAGTCAACAGAAAGTTAGGAAGGAAGGTGGCAGATCTGGCACTGGGGGTCTCCACGGCAATAAACGCGTAGTAGAATTTCCGTGCGTGGCACCTCCCAGTCACTGCCTTTTAAGAATGTCTATGTACAATAAATGTTCATCTCAACTGGATTACGTATTTTACAAGACAGTCCAAATGAATTAGCATACATCAACCCACTTTTTCAAAGTTAACAGCACCTTTTGCACATTTTAGGTTGTGTTTTCCTGCTAATGAACTGCATTAAGTCTAATATGGAACCAAATGCCAGAATTTTTTCATTTGTTTAGAAATACAGTAGACAGTTCTAATTAAGCACAGTTTCCATGGAGACTAAGTCGCATTATGTTATTAACTTGAAGACACAGTATATGTTAGCTGGGTTAGAATGGAATCTGGGAGATAGACCGAAACAATAAATCCTCAATCACAGATCTCACTGGTACCCTTAGTTTCAACTCACAAATCCATACAAAGGAAAAAAAAGTACAAGCTTTAACAGAATGAATTTGAATGATAAGTTCACATCACACTGTTGAAATCACAGATAGGAACGCTCCGCTAACAACAATGGCAAGGACTGGGACAGAAGGACGCATGGAGCTTAGCAAAGCTGAGCACTCCACTTGAAGCGCAGCCCGGCATGGCAGACCACAGCCTTGCGAGAGGAACACACCTGACTGTTTTGAGAACAGCACCCCAGGATGATGAGCAGGTGTGTCTGGAGTTCAGCCCTGAATTTTGTGGGAAGAGGTGATCGGCTGCCTGCCTTACCTCTGCCTGGAAGCAGCTGAACTCAGGTAAAACCTTTCACAGTTAGAGTATGATGTGGGTTCAGGCCATTGAAAGTTCCTGTTTGTGGTGTCACTTCTTCTTCACTGGCTCAGGTAACTCAACACCTGTGCTGGGGGAACTGGGGGATACAGACTCCTTATCCAGCAAGGGTTTGCGTTTCCAGCCTACGCTATGTACTGTGATGCCCTGACCTCTGTCTCCCTCCCGCGGCTTGTAGGTCGGCACAAAAGGTATTATAAGAGAGAGAGAGAGAGACCACATTCACATAACTTTTATGACATATACTGTTTTAATTTTTCGATTTTATTGTGAGTTACTGTTGTTGATCTCCTATTGCACCTAGGAGGTAAGCTTGCACAGGGGAAGACGTAGTCTGTACGGGGTCTGCACTGCCCGAGGTTTCAGGCACCCACTGGGGGTCTCGGAACGTGTCTCCCAAGGATAAGAGGGGACTAGTGTGTTCCCACCGTACGCCAACCGCAGTCCAGATCACTCGTCTAGGCAACGCGCTGCCCACACTCGCAGGCTGTGAGACCCGTGTCCCCTGCACCCCACGTCTGGCACGGTGGGTGCCAATAAAGGTTTGATGATGAGTGGATGAAATGTGGAAGATACGTACAGCTCTCAAACTAAATTCCCATTTTGGTGAAGTCAGGGACCCCAACTACCTCCATCCGCATGTAAGAGATACCTGAAAACTCATCCTTTCTGGATATTTCTCTCTTCGGCCCTCCTTGAAAAGGAAGAGGATTATTTGCTCCAAGAATCGTGAAAGATGAGTGGTCTGATCTAGGACGTAGACTTTGGGTGGTGCAGCGGAACAGCAGCCCTATTAGCTGTGCTCGCAGACACTCTGAAGTCGGGTGGCCGTGAGCTTCCTTCACTTGGCATCTGTGTTTCCCCACGTCCAAAGTCAATACTCCCCAGCCAGGTGGGGCGGCAAATGCAGAGATCACACGTGTGAGATTAATCAACGCCGTAAAATTAATAGCACCTACATCGGACATCATACTCAAATTTCCATCACATTTTCTTAGCAAAAATAGAAATGTGCCTTAGACTGAAACATTTTGGAAATCATCCACTTACACATTTGAATGCATCTAATGAGTTTTAGTCTTCGCTGGAGAAACACAGTCTTTGCAGTTATGGCTCTTGGTGGGGTTTTCCTTGACTCCAAACTGCTCACTGACAATATTTTCCGGCTGAATTCACTTTATGAATTGTTTTTCTTACCTACTGAAACTTAATGATCACAGTGCTTCCTAGCAAGTGACCCGGAGACCCTGCAAACTGCTTCCGGGTGGGCCATAACCAGGCCACCCTGTGTCTGTGTCCTGGTGCTTCCGAGAGTCAATACCTAATTCTACAAGTGCAAAGCACTTCAGCCAGGAAAGTGGATCAGTTGTGCTATGTGTCGCTGGGCGCAGCCAAGAGACCACAGATCTGCCACTAACTAAGCACGTGATGGGGCATTTTCGTCTCTAGAATCACCCTCAAGTCTCAAATAAATGCCCATCCTGCTCCCCTGTGCCCCAGAGGGGTCCGGATGGACCTGAGATCCTTGTGACGGCACCGTATAAACCATGAGGCGTCCTGCTCACGCCACGGGCTGCCCTGCGTCTGCCTTCCCTTGTCACGTGTGAGTCATGTCAGCGCCGTGAAATGCATATCCTCTCTGGAGGGAGAAAGCGGGTGCGATGCTCCCTCAGGACCGGTCCTCAGGCGCCATGGCCCAGAGGAAGTGGGGGTCAGAGAGCGAGGCCCCTCCTCTGTTCTTCACGGGCCAGGTCTCCATGATCTGGATGAGATCAGGTGATGCTTCCTTTAGGGATTCTGCACCCACCCTCCTCAACAGGGCTTTCTTGGACTGACACTGGACAGTGCCAGGTGGGCCACACGACTCCCCGGTGACTGACGTCTGTGGAAGCCGTTGGACACGGCAGCTTTTCCATTTAATAGGCAGACTCAAGTTTCCGGGTACTTGAGGTGGCTCTGAGGCACCTTCTGTGGGTGGTCTGGACGCAGGGTGTGGCTGTTCATTCTTGTTACTACGTGGGCTGTGCACGGACCCATCCCTCAGGCTCGGAGGCTGTCAGAACAGACTTGCGGGTGTTCAGTGGCCGCGGGGCCTGGCAGTGCTGTGCAGACACACATATGCACTGTTTAACACCAGAGATGCACTGAATTCGGATAATTTGTGAATCGCAGCATTTGTCTGCAGATGCTGGAGACACTTAGCATGTTGTCACAAGGGCTGGCGGTTGAGCCTGGCAGACAACAGGAGCCCACGATCTGCTGTCCTGGGGAGCAAAGACACCCCCTCAGTGGGGCTGCAAAGCCCCCTAGGGCCCAGAGCCGAATATTTCACATCAGCACAGAGACTTACAGGAGATGTGGCTTGGCCTCACTGAGTGCATGCAGCCCGTTATGGCTGACGTGCGGTGCGCGTTCAGACGCTTCACTGAGGAGGGGCCTTGGCGCCATTTCAGCCCCAGGCCAGCCCCAAGACTCCAGGGGCAGGATCTCCAATCCGAGACTTTGAGCGGCACAGCAGACGGGAAGGGAAGGGGCTCAGTCTGACGTGTCAGCTGGGTAAGCAGCAGAGTGAACGTCTGGGGAGAATACGTCTCTCCGTGCAGGTGCGCCCGGCATGGCATCCAGCCCTGGAGTCACCGGCATCCAGTGCCTGCCTTTCTCCCTCCTCCCACTGTACATAGTTCACAAGACTCACGCTGACCTCGGCCCCTTTTCAGTCTCGGCAGGTCAGGGTGGGTACCAGGACCACCAGGGCTCTCCAAGGAGTGGCCCCTAGGAACAAACACTCCTTGGGGAGAACGAGGGAAGAAAGATGTGTGTAGTGATCTGTCTGCACTTTTGCAAACAC